TCTGTCTCCAGGACCTATGGGTCGCAGATTCACCCCCCCCCCCCCCCCTAGAGTTATGGGTGGACTTATGTAGGATGCGAGCACAAGTAGCCTTCATACATGGGACACATTTGTCAGGGGTATGGATCACCCTAACTTGTGTTATTTTCGATATCATGCATACCATAGCACCTCCCCAGACTAAAATTATAAAGAAGTGAGTATACGGATCTCCTGCAAGGCTAACTGGCAATACTAAGTGTAGATGGCAGATGGGGCAGGTCTATTACTATTTCTGAAGGGTACACTGGAAGGTGAACAGGTGGCGCTGGTGAACGTATATGCCCCTAACTCGGACCAAATTTAATTCCTTAATGGATGTCTGTCTGAGCTATCCACATTTGTGGAGGGGACTCTTCTGGTAGGTGGAGACTTTAATGTGGCACAAGATCCCTTATTGGATATTTCACATAATACACCTCATCTCTTATGTGTTTCTATGCCGATTCAAACATGCCCTACATACTGCGCAATTGGATGACGCATGGCACGTATTCCACTCCAAGGAATGAGATTACTCATACTTTTTTGCGACACACTGATCATACGCCAGAATTGACTTGGACCTACCTAGGGTATGAGCAACCTTCATTGTGACACGCACTTTTTCCGATCACTCTCCGGTCTGTATGCTGGGGACAAACTCGCCTAAAATATGGCAATGGAAATTAAACTAATCCCTAATACAGGACACCACAACAAAATCTGTAATTAAGGGTTTTCTTTCAAACTCATGCTACCTCCTCGCTGCTTATGGTGGTCTGGGAGGTGCACAGATGTGTTATGCGAGGTGTACGTATCTCTCAGGAAACCCGTATTAAAAAAAGAACATAATATACATTCTCTGCTAGATGACATTAGACGGTTGGAGACTTTACATAAGAAATCCCTAGCCGCCTCTTGCTGTTTCATAAAACTAAAGTACACTTGGCCAAGGTCCGAAACAGATATTTTTGAATGGGGTGACAAGCCTGGCAGGCTCCTGGCAAAAGCATTGAATGAATTACGAGCTCGTTTTTATGTTCCTCTCTTCGGAGAGAGGTTGTCTGGTGCATACTACAGCTGAAATAGTGAAGCGTTTTTCAGGATTACTACAAAGACCTTTTACAATTCCTCCCCTCCAAAACATCTGGATGCCTTGACGGAGCGCAGCGCCCGGATAACCCAATTTTTGCGGAAGGCAGGGCTTCCTTGCCTCTTTGAGGATGAAAGTGTATCTTTAGGTGAACCAATTGCAGTTGAGGAATAGAAAATGGCCCTAGTGACCACCAAACCCCACAAGGCCCCTGGCCCGGATGGGTTCTCTCTCCCCTACTATAAGGAATTTTCACACTTACTCGCCAAACCATTCACAGCTGACTTTAATTCGGTCTTCGAAGGGGACTACATACCAGTTGACACCCTTCGGGCGAACATTACCATACTCCCCAAGGAGGGAAAGGACCCTACACAGTGTAGCACCTACCATCCCATCTCATTATGAAATGTGGATTTAAAGCTGCTTATAAATATTTTAGCTGCGCGTTTATTGCCCCTCGTACAAGAATGGGAGGACCAAGTGGGTTTTGTCCCGCAAAAGGAGGCCAAAGATAATACCACACGGGCCATCAACGTGGTCTACTGGGTGCATCAGAAGGCTGTTCCAAATATGTTGCTCTCGACTAGTGCTGAAAAGTCGTTTGACTGCGTTGATTGGACTTTTATGACCGCAGTCCTTTCACCTGGGGGCTGGGCGATACCTTAAAGTGAATAATCGCTATTTATTTTAAACCGATGGCTAAAGTTAAAATGATATAGTTCCTTGTCCGAGTCCTTTTGAGCTGTGTAATGGCACAAGGCAAGGTTGTCCCTTGTTGCCGTTAATTTTCATCCTGACCCTGGAGCCTTTGTTATACCGTATAAGAAACAATCCCAACATCCTGGTTATCCCCACATCACAGGGTGAACATACAGTTGCAAGAAAAAGTATGTGAACCCCCTTGGGATTACGTGGAGTTTTGCATGAATTGGGCATAAAATGTGCTCTGAACGGCATCTAAGTCACAACAATAGAAGAACACAGTCTGCTGAACATAATACTACACAAACATTAGATGTTGCCATGGTTTAATTGCACATAACATGTAAACATTCACAGTGCAGGGAGGAAAAAGTATTTGAACCTTTGGACTTAATAACTGGTTGAGCCTCCTTTGGCAGCAATAACTTCAACCAAACGTTTCCTGTAGTTGCAGATCAGACCTGCACAATGATCTGGAGTAATTTTGGACCACTCCTCTTCACAAAACTGTTTCAGTGTAGCAATATTCTTGGGATGTCTGGTGTGAATCGCTCTCTTAAGGTCATTCCAAAGCATTTCTATCGGGTTGAGGTCAGGACTCTGACTGGGCCACTCCAGAAGACGTATTCTGTGCTGTTGCAGCCATTGCTTTGTTGAATTACTTGTATGCTTTGGGTCATTGTCCTGTTGCATCACCCATCCTCTGCGGAGCTTCAGTTGGCGGACAGATGGTCGTACGTTTTCCTGCAAAATGTCTTGATAAACTCTGGAATTCATTTTCCCATCAATGACAACAATCCGTCCAGGCCCTGAGGCAGCAAAGCAGCCCCAAACCTTGATGCTCCCTCCGCCATGTTTTACAGTGGGGATGAGGTTTTGATGTTGGCGTGCTGTGCCTTATTTTCTCCACACATAGTGTTGTGTGTTCTTCCCAAACAACTCAATCTTGGTTTAATTTGTCCACAGTGTATTTTGCCAGTAGTGCTGTGGAACATCCAGGTGCTCTTTTGCAAACTTCAAACGTGCTGCAATATTCTTTTTGGACTGCAATGACTTTCTCCGTGGTGGCCTCCCATGTACTCCTTCTTGTTTAATGTTTTCCTTATTGTAGATGTGTCAACAAAAATGTTAGCTTGTGCCAGAGATTTCTGTAGGTCTTTAGCTGACACTCTGGGATTCTTCTTTCCCTCATGCAGCATTCTGCGCTGTGCTCTTGCAGTCATTTTTACAAGACGACCACGCCTAGGGAGAGTAGCAACAGTGCTAAACTTTCTCCATTTGTAGACAGTCTGTCTTACCGTGGACACATGAACATCAAGGCTTTTGGAGATACTTCTGTAACACCAGAGGCTTGCAGCATAGTGGGCTGTGTGGAAGCAATCGGGTGGCAGTGTAGTTGCTCGAATGCTTCCACCTGACAGGGCTAAATGTTAAAAATCCCAAAAAACTACCAGGGTTGGAAACTATAATGTTTCAGACAATATAAATTGAGCATTGCTGCTTGGGAAGGGTAATTTCTCTCCCGACCCCCATGGAATTTGAGCATATTTGTTCAGTCAAGGAAATTGCTTCACATTGTCTGTTTTTCACAGGCATATAGCATCTTAACCCATCCACAAAACTTGTTGCCTCTGGAGTACCTCCTTAAATGGGAGTGGGACCTGGGTACTATTTTTACGGAGCAGCAAAGGGATAGGATTTTACTGAGGACTCGTAAGGCCTCCATTTCTAGTCCAAGAATCCAAGATCAAAGAAACTGGATATAAAATCCTAACCAGGTTGTACATTGTTAAAGATGTTTTAAGGGAGGTGGGCTCTATGCTTCATATCTTTTGGTCCTGTGAGGGCCTTAAAGATTTCTGGACACAAGGTAGACATTGGATACAGAGTTTCACTGATATCCAAATGCTGGAAGAAAGGGCCGCCTTCTTGTTGCATTTGACCCATATGTCCCTGACATGTTATAGATGGTCCCTCCTGCTCCCATCTGTTAAACACGGAAAAGGCATGCAACAAACCACACCCCCCTCCATCAAGACTTGGTTCGCTAAAGTCAATGAAGTCCAACTGATGGACAAGCTTATGGCTGCAGTTCACCATAGGCAAGAATTAGTCCATAAGATGTGGTTTTATTGGACGAAATTTACCTTCACAGCTGAATACCGCACTATCCCGGGCTCCAAAGTGTCAACCATGAGTCCCTTGTGACTTTATTAGGCCAGTCTCTTTCAGGCAGCACGCTCATCTTTCCCCTTTCTGTTCTTCTTTATTCTTCCTGACCCCCCCCCCCCCCCCCCCACTTTTTTTTTTTTTTTTTTAAATCTCTCTTTTTTCTTTTCGTTCTGTCTGTTTCTTATTTTTCTTTTTTTTTTCTAAAAGTTCATGTTGTACAGGATTGAAATAAGTCCGAAGCCTATGAGCGAGGGGAGCTAAACTGTTAATGCCACGTTCGCCCTTTTCCCCGATGGTCTATCTGTGGTGCATTTATTTTGATACATGAATTTTGTTCCTGGCCCGAGCTACTTGTTGTGATGGGTGCCTGCGAGCCCCGATAATCCCTGTATGGCATGCAAAATTGATGAAGAAATTTAGAAGGAAAAAAAAAAACTGCCACACCTTTTTCCCTTAGATTTCAAGTGAATAGAAACTTCAACAGAAACACAGAAGAAAGAGAACATTTATTTGTTCATTTATTTATTTTTTTTTACAAGTTAAGCCAGCACTAAATGCAAAAGGAAACATTTATGTTGCAGCTTACCAGTTCCTGGATCTGACGGCAGTATGTTTCCTTTTTTAGGCTTTTTTTTTCTTCTATTTTCATTCCGTGAACCAGTCTCTTTTTCAACAGAAAAACTCTTGAAGTCACAGGGATGAGACCGATTTTAATCAGCATTTATTTGTATAAAACCTTTATCCAAATAGGAAGAAAAACTTTCTCTGTAACTGATATTAACTGGAGTTCATCTTGCTTAATTTAAATCTGCTAGTACTTCTATCTCTCCCTACCCCAGACTGACAATGCTGCTGTCCAAATCTGGCTACTGTGCTCATTCATCCACAGTGGTGTCTGTATAATACAGGAATTACCGTATTTTTCGCTTCATAAGACGCACCTGACCATAAGACGCACCTAGGTTTTAGAGGCAGAAAACAAGATAAAAAATATTCTGAATCAATGGACTGCAGACATAGTACAGGAGAAGACCGGAGACTGCAGACATAGTACAGGAGATGACCGGAGACTCCGGGCACAGTACAGGAGATGACCGGAGACTGCGGGCACAGTTCAGGAGATGACTGCTGACGTTTGGGGAGGGAGGGGGAGCGGGTACCTGAATTTGACCGGTTCCCACTTCCACGGAGTTGACCTCCCTTTAGTGTGGGCACCCGGCTGAAAGCCGGGTGCCCAGTGCACATGCACGAGAAGCGCTGCGCTTTGTGATTGGTCCGCCGTTTTCTGGGACCTGTCATGTGTCCCAGAAGACGCCTTACCATTCACAAAGTGCAGCGCTACTCGCGCATGCGCACTGGGCACCCGGCTGTCAAGCCGAGAGCCTACACTAAAGAAGCCGGCGCGGGAAGACTGCGCAGCGATGGACCGAGGAACAGGTAAGGTCCTGCTGCAGAGCTGAGCGGCTGGCCCGGTATTCTGACATGGCGGCGGTGGAAATACCTGTTCGGCCGCTCCATATTCGCTCCATAAGACGCACTGACATTTCCCCCCCCCCTTTTTGAGGGGAAAAATACGGTATGTTACTGGCCAGATTACAGGGTGAAAATGGAGGGACAATAGCCTAACAAAGAAAACTAATATGGTCACTACATCTGATTGGTGAGCTGCAATATACTACTGTGACGGAGGGTAGGCAGGACAGAACACACAGAGTAGATGGCAAACGCACAAAGCTTTGAGACACACAGATGACAGTCACTCAATAGAGGGAATCGCAGGGAGGGGTATCTGCCAGTAAAAGGTAGCAAGGAGGGGCTGACCCATTTATAGTCCAACACCGAGAGCCAAGGAAGAGTCTCTAGCAATTGTAATCCAACGGGGGGGGGGGGGGTCAGCACAGGAACAGTTCAGGTAAAATAGGGAGAGAGCATATACTCACGGATCCGACAGGGTGCCTGGTCTCTCAGGGGTAGAAAGTGGAACACAGGTACCTGTTGGAGTCCGGATCGCGCGGGTGGCTTCCCCTTTTGGGCTGAGACCTCAGGCAGCTGGCAGGAGATCTCTCCCCTGGGCTGGGGTCTCTGGCAGCTAGCGGGTAATCTCTCCACTGGGCTGGGGTCTCGGGCAGCTGGCAGGCAATCTCGCAATCTCTCCCCTAGGCTGGGGTCTCTGGGTCCCTGGCAGCTAGCAGGCAATCTCCCCTCTAATTTGTCAGGTATGTAAACCTGACAAATCAAAAATAAACTAAGCAGTTTACCTGGTACAGTTAAGCATTAGAAGTCCTCTTTCCCCAGTCTTGCAAAGAAAAGTGAATCCATACATGTTAAATCCTCTCTGCTTTCTTGCAGGTTTTAACCACTTGCCTTCCAGAGGATTTACCCCCCTTAATGACCAGGCCTCTTTGCTATTCGGTGCTGCACGATTTCACCTGATAATTGCGTGGTCATGCGATGCTGTACCTAAACGAAATTTACTTCCTTTTTTTCACACAAATAGAGCTTTCTTTCGGTGGTATTTGATAATCTGTGCGCATTTTATTTTTCGCACCATAAACAAAAAAAAACGGAAAACTTTGAAGAAAAACTATATTTTTTGTTTTCGGCTATAAAAAAATATATACTAAACTCAAAGTTAGTGATACATTTAGACCAAAATGTATTCTGCTACATGTTTTTGGTAAAAAAAAATCCCATTAAGTGTATATTGAGTGCTTTGTATGAAAGTTATAGCGTCTACAAACTATGGTATAGATACTGCCATTTACGCCATTTTTTTTTTTGTTTTATACAGCACTGCACTAGTTTGACAATTGCGCAGTCATGCAATATGCATGCATAAATTAAATTTACTAACTTTTTTTTTACACAAATTGAGCTTTCTTTCTTTGCTATTTGATCACCTGTGTGCTTTTGTATTTTTGGTGCTATGAACAAAGTTTTTTGAAAGAGAAAAACATTTTTTTAAAAATTTTCTCATTTTTGTCATAAAAAATATCCTAAAAACTAAAATTTTGTCATGAATTTAGGCCAATATGTATTCTGCTACATATTTTTGGTTTAAACAATCACAATAAGTGTATATTGATTGCTTTGTGTGAAAGTTATAGCATCTACAAAACTATGGTATAGATAATGGAATTTACACAGCTTTTACTTTCTGACTGCCCATCACATTTATTGAGGTGCTAAAATACCATGACAGTAAAAACACCCCAAAAATGACCCCTTTTTGGAAAGTAGACAACCTAAACTATCTGCTGAGAGGCATATTGAGTCCATGAAAGATTTATTTTCTTTTCCCACAAGTTTTTGGAAAATGACAAAAAAATGTTTTTTTTTTTTTTTCCTTTTTTTTCTTTTACACAAAGTTGTCATTTAAATTTATATATTTCTCACACAAGCCATGGGTATATATGGAACTACTCCCCAAAATACATTCTGCTACTTCTATCGTGTATGGGGTTACCACATGTGTAAGACTTTTTGGGAGCCTAGCCACATACAGGAGCCTGAAATCCAATGACCACTTTGAAAGCCTGAAGGTGCGTAACTTCCTCATTTCACGTCCTCACTATCTATCACAGTTTCGGAGGCCCTGAAATGCCAGGATAGCACCAACTTCCCAAATTACCCTTTTTTTGGCAAGACACCCCAAGGAATTATAATTTTGCAGATCTCATTTTTTTTCTCAGGTTTTGAATTCTAAAAGAAAACAAAATGGTTTTGTTTGTTTGTTTTTTCTTTTTCCAAAAACTTGTGGCAACAAACGAGATCTGCAAATTACTCACCATGCTTCTTATCAAATTCCTTGGGGTGTCTTTTTTCCAATAAGGGGTCATTTGGGGGGGGTTTGGTGCTATCCTGGCATTTCGGGGCCTTCTAAACTGTGATAGGTAGTCAGGAAGTGTAATGAGGAAATCAAGCGCTTTAAAAGCCTCAAGGTGCTTATTGGATTTTGGGGTCCTGTACTTGGCTAGACAGCCAAGTACATGTGGTACCTCCATACTCGGGAGAAGTAGCAGAATGTATTTTGGGGAGTAATTCCACGTTTACCCATGGAATGTGTGAGCAATACATCATTTAAGTGACAATTTTGTATAGGGAAAAAAAAGGGGGTAGTTTGGGGGGTGGGGGCCCAGCAATTAGATTATGCCACACATCATTCACTCTTCTATCCACCTGAAGATCAAGCCTTTTCTGACACTTTTTGTTAACATGAAGAAAATAAGTATTTTCTGCTAGTAAATTACTTTGAACCCCCAAACAGTCTATATATATATTTTTTTTAAAGCAGACACCCTAGTGAATAAAATGGTGGGTGCTGCAATTGTTCATGTCACATAGTACTCGCGCAGCAATTTTTTTCTTTTTTTTTAACATTAAAATTTTTAATAATTTTCAAAAGAAGCATCATGTACAACCTACAGCAAAATTTCAAGGGTTCATGGCCGCACGAGGGCGGACAAAAATTATAACCGTGTCTGGTGGACAATAGTCATATCAATAGCATATATTGAGAGCATGTACTATTCAATGTCCGTGCACACTGCTAAGCCATGCTACAGTGCTTGCTGTGGTGGGGTGTACAGATGGAAGGAGAGTCCAGTGAGGTCACTACTCCACATCCCGTCCTCTGGCATGCAGACACACCCACTAATCAGCCAGTGTCTGACAGCCGAGACTGGCTGGGGAAAAGAATTTTGAAGGTAAAAGGACAGTGATTTTATTTTAACACGTGGACACGTTACTATTGTACGTGGCTTTTATGTTGCATTGACCGAAGGACTAGCCAATTTAAAACCGCGATGTCACGTGTGTAACAATGCCACGCCCAGCTGCACCCTGCACACCGATTTTCCAGCTAATCGACCACAACCTGTTTGCAGCCTGAGCGATTGTTACTGGGTCAGGTTAATTACGCAATTAACCCTTCACACTGCCACCACCTCCTTTTTTACAGAAAAAGAGGAAACTCGGCATTATTAGCAATAACACTATGATGGTTGAAATAATCGTCTGTATACCACTGTCACCACAGACAGGTTATACAGAGGGTTAAACACACACAGTAGCGTTCTTCAGCGGCAGCATTCGTGTTTGCATTAAAGAGCTTTAGAAACAGTTCAACACTTTCAGAAAGTAAGATTTACTACTAAAAGGTCAAAAGGGTGCGATTAAAAATATTTCCAGAAAAAAGATGTAACATAGAGAGAGAGAGAGAGAGAGAGGGGGGTAGCACAGCAAAGATAATACCGAAAAGGATTTTACAGGGTTAAAGTACTTGCCAATCAGCCTTCATCTGCGGAATGGTTAGATATGAAACATGTCACATGCACTTGAATGGTTCAGGAGATATAATTTTCTGCTTTTCTATATATGCCAGCTAAGTGGTGTAACCTATCAGGAGAATGGTCTCAAATTGAGCCTTCTGAATATAGGCTCCATGTTTAGGTAATTATGTCCTACGTGAAGATATCAACTTATATGAAAAGTGAGTTTTTAAAAGTACGTCTGTCTTTACAACCCCTTTGGAAGGTCTTTTGAAGCTCAGTGAGGGATTTGGTTTATACTTTTGCGGTATGCCAGATTGCACAGTTTCTTAGACAGCTAGGCCCCAGCACCCTTGGGGATGTTATAGCTCAAAGCTCTCGGCTTTGCTTTGGCTGCCTGTGACCTCTGTCATCACTCAGGACACATGTCACTCAACAGAGAGGGAAGGGGTGGATGATTGGAGGAGGCAGCCTGCCTGGTAGTGAGAAATGGTACAGCATGGAAAATTCTTAACAAAATGGAGGACTGCGTCCTTCTTTGTGGGCACGATTGCTACAATGTTAGAGCAGTCTTGTGACGCACGCACGCACTAAACTGCAGCAATTTTGGTGTGCTGGCAGCTGTCTGTTTCAGCTGCATTGAGCCTGCAATCTGGGGCAGTGTGATGCACCTTTTATGCATTTCAAGCAGGTCCCTTGTTTGTGTCACTGCATTGCCTTAGCTGTATGTTGACATGCAGCGATATTTGGTGAGGTGCGATATTTTGCAAACATGTTGCTTGATATTTCACATCTCTGACACATAGAAACACTGCACTTATGGTGTGAACATAACACAAAGAAAACTATTGTCTTCTGTGTGCCATTGTAGT